ACATTGTGGAACTTGCTAGGAATCTGTCTTCTAAGACCCGTCCATGGCCTTATGATCGGGCCACACAGCAGGAGGTGAGCCCCTGGCAAGCAAGCATTCCCGCCTGAGCTCCGCCTCCTGTCACGTGTCAGATCAGCGGTGGCATTAGAATCTCACAGGAGCGTGAACCCTATTGTGAACTGGGCACTCGAGGGATCTGGACTGTGCACTGCTTGTGAGAATCTAATGTCTGATTATCTGAGGTGGAGCAGTTTCATCCTGAAACCATCCCCCCAACTCCCATCTGTGGAAAAATTGTCTTCCACGAAACCAGTCCCTGGTGTAAAAAAGGTTGGAGACTGCTGCTCTAAGATGCCTGAGAAAGCTGTTCATGGGAAGGTGCTTGATGGAGGCTCTGGGGAAAACTTCAGGGTGTGGTTGCAACTGTGTGCTGTGAGCGCCTGGTGCTGGGAGGGAAGACTGCCTGGCAGGAGCCACAACTCTTCACTAGAGCCAGCAAGCAAAAGTTTCACTTCCTGCAGTGTCTTTCCGGTGCCTTTACCTGAAGCTTAACATAATGCCAGTTGACAAAGGAAAATGGTTTAAAAAGATCAGGTCCATTTTTACAAAGCAAGCAAAAAAGGGTGAATTTGGAGGTGAGGGGCTGTAAACATTGATAACCAGCAGTGACTGAGAAATACAAATAGTCATGACATCCTAAGTGAAGACCTGTCAGTTGCTGAAAAGATTGTATGATGCGTTTCAAAGCCAGATACTTTGGTATTCTTACCACTTACACTGTATTCTCTCTTGATGGAGAATTGACTCAAATTCTCTCCTTCACTTTTAATAAAAGTATCAGGCAGATAGATATACCTAAAGGACAGCCAGTAGAAATGAAGTACCTTTTGAGTAAAACCATTAGTTCACTAGAAGGTGTTCAGGCAGGAATAGTAGATAGGATAGATAGGAAATACAGGGAGGAAAGAAAGCTGTCTAAATATCCTCTGTATGCTGTCATCAGTAACGATCTACAAGGGCCTTCTGCTGGTACAAAGCTGTCATCCCAGGATCATCCTTATTCTGCATTCCTTTTACTCTTTCCTGTGTTAGATTGTGTCTTGTTAGTATCCAGAATCTTCCACTTTCTTGATTTATTCCTTAGTTTTGTTGGGGCACATTTTCTAACACCATCCTGGGAAAGGTTGCTTGGGAAGTAAATTGTTTTGTGACTTCCTATAGCTGAAAATGTCTTTGTTCCCTCCTGCCACTTGATAGATAGTTTGGTAGGTTATAAAAATCTAGGTCTGAAATGATTTTCTTCAAGAATTTTAAGCTCATTTCTTCTTTGTTATTTAACTTTCATTTACAAGTATGAAGCCACTCTGATTCTTGATCCTTTCTGTATAATCTATTTTTGTTTCTGAAAGCTTATAAGAATTTTTTTCCCAGTATCCTAAATTATGATGATGATGTGCTCTGGAGTGGATCTATTTTCATGCGTTGTTGAGAGTACCTCCTTAGTAGTCTTATCTTTTTTGGTGGGGGGACATTCCTTTTTTTCAGATGTTGAACTGTCTGGAATGATCTTCAAGTTTTCTTAACTCATTTCTCCTATTTTCTTTTTTAAAAAAAATAATAAATTAAAAAAAAAATAGAGCTGGGCTCTCACTGTGTTGCCCAGTATGCTCTTGAACACCTGGGCTCAAGCAGTCTTCCCAAAGCACTGGGGTTATAGTCATGAGCCATGGGCTCAGCCGTCTCTCATATTTTCTGCCTTTGTCTTTTTGCTGTTTTTTCTAGGAGAGTTCCTCAATTTTTAATCTTGACCTTATGTTAAAAAAAAATTTTTTTTTTTGCAATCCTTAGCATTTTTTGCTGGCCTATCATGGATGTTTCTTTTTATATTATCCTACTCTTTTTTTATGTACACAATATCCTGTCTTTTCCCTCTGGGAAGATTAAGGTGAATTTTTCTTTTTTCCTTGAACTTTACATTTAGCACAATCTTTTATCTTTGTTAAATATCTAATGAGTCCTGTTTGCTCAATTTTAGAGCAGTGCTCTAAAACAATTTCTTAACCGGTGTGCCAAAAATACATGTTGCCATTGTATGAAGACACTGATGATGTCAGTCCCCAGAGTAGCTGAGCAGCATCTAAAGAGTCAGGGGGCCCTGTCCAGCCCTGAGCCTACAGGCACCCTCTGTTTAGCACAGAGTAATACTATAGACTCTGTGTGCGATGTGACATGAAAAAGTTTTAGAAATACTGCTTCGAAATATGCAGGAAGTTCAGAGCCCTGTAGATTAGACTTGTTGAGCTCAGGTTTTGCTGTTGTGAGATCAAACGGGGTCATTTTCTTAGGGCAGACTGATGTCTGTGCCCTTGGGTCTGTACCTTTAGGCTTATCAAGTCCTCCAGAAGTCTTTGTTTCTTGCTTGGAAGATGTGGTCTGGCTTTCAGCATTTCAGGAGCAGAGTTGGGAGAAAAAGACAAATGGTCCAGCATTCAGTGTATAAACATTCAGTCAACCCTCCCGATTACAATAACACCTACCCTCAAATGTGCCTGGTGCTCCCCTGTCCAGAGACTCTCAGTCGTATTCTCTTCAAAATATAAGTCACATGTCTTCCACTGGAATTAGGGAGAGTCTTACTAAGCTTCGCAGGGAAGATGTATATACACATGGAGAGAGATTCCAGAAATTGAGCTGTTTTCTAAGACTTTGTTAACAGTTCTATTTTTAGCTTATCTTTCAACCCCTGCCCCACCACAACCCCATCGTCACCTACCACATACTGCCAGTTTTTCAGAGCCTTTGGGGAGTCTTCAGTCCAATTTAGGTTGAGTCTCGGCTTTGCTTACTGCTAAATTAGGATTAAGCTTCCTCAGATACTCCAAGTCAATTACTTTGTCTGTTTTTTAGCATATGACATTTCATTGACCAGAGGTGGTGGCTCATGCCTATAAGCCCAGCACTTTGGGAGGCTGAGGCAGGTGGATCACTTCAGTTTAGAGGTTCAAAACCAGCCTGGGCAACATGGTAAAACAATATCTCTACAAAAATTAGCTGGATGTGGTTCTGCACACCTATAGTCCAAGCTATTTGGGAGGCTGAGTCAGGAGCATTGCTTTATTGTAGAAGTCTGAATACAAATAATGAGTTTAAATATTTGTTTCTAAGAACTCCCTGTAACTGTCACTACTTGGATACTAGTATTTGAAGGTGTGCTTTTCTTTTCTTAGAAAATGGGATTATTAGGTAGCAGGTAACATGATGGCAATCCTGAGGTTTAACAGTTGTAATTCATACCAACAGCATGTTTCAAAACTATTTTAAAATTTCATTTGAATATTTTTTTAGAAAACTTTAATTCTTTTAGTAAAAAATATGGAGAATATCTAGGTCTAAGTTATTAAATAAGACACAAAAAGCATTGATGAAAATTTGTTCTTCAAATTCTTCATCACTTTAAGACATCTTTTTAAAGATTTTTAAAAGGCTTTTTTTTTAAGTTTTCAAAAAGGCACTTTTTTAAAAGTTCATGTCTGTTAAAGGATTAGTATCACAAATATATAAAGAACACCTACACCTCAATATGAGAAGAACAATTAGTAAAAAATGACTGAAGAAGAGACATAACTAATGTTTTGCAGAAGAGGAAGCACATGGCCACAAACATACAAAGAAAGAGATGTTCAGCACCTGAGTAGTAAGAGAATACAGATGACAACCACAGTGAGATACCATATTTCACTTACTCAATCCATAGTTCACTTATTCAATTGGCAAAACTTAAGAAGTGTGATAGATTCAAATATTGTAGAGTTTATGAATCCACAGATGCCCTTACACTTACATATATATGAGACTGTAAACTGCGCCACCTACTATGGAGAATAAATTAGCATAATTCTACTCCCAGGAGTAGACCCAAGGGAAATTCTTTTTTTTTTTTTGGAGGCAGAGGCTTGCTCTGTCACCAAGGCTGGAGTACAAGGCATCATCTCAGCTCACTGCAGCCGCTGCCTCCCAGGTTTGAGCAATTCTCATGCCTCAGCCTCCCAAGTAGCTGGGATTACAGGGGTGCCCCACCACCACACCCAGCTGATTTTTGTGTTTTTAGTAGAGACAGGGTTTCACCATGTTGGCCAGGCTGGTCTCGGACTCCTGGCTTCAAGTAATCCACCTTCTTCAGCCTCCCAAAGTGCTGGGATTACAGGCGTGAGCCACTGTGCCCAGCCGAAAAATTCTTTAACTTGGTACAAAAGAGTTGTATGCAATAATAGTCATAGCATCACAGTTCACAATATCAAAAACCGGGAGACAACCCCAGATGCTCATCAACAGAAAAGTGGGATGTTGCACGGCAGAAAGAACAAAAGAACCAGTGTGGCGTACACACTTATGTAAAATTTTAAGTCATTTTTATAAAACAACAATACAAAATGGGTGATTAATCAATTATAAGACAACCTAAAATTTAAGATATATATTTCATGGATACAGTAATAAAGAAAGCAAGGAAAAATTGAGCATTGGATTTAGGCTAATGATTGATTACCTCAGGTGGTGGAAGCAGAGGAGTGGATTGGTGGGGAGGACCATTTGATTAGAAGTGGGCTGTTGACAAGGTCTTAGCTTTTGTTTTGGATGGCAGGTTTGTGGAGTCCTTGTTACATTATTGAAGATTAATTAGATAATTCAGTATGTTAAAAAATAAGCCTAAAGGGACTGGGATTTCCCAAGTGAAATACAGATTCATGGTCATGGGGATCTTAGTTCTTTGGTCATCTGTTTTTTTTTTTTTTTTTAAATACCATTTGGGATCCAGGGACCACTGTTTTGTAGTTGAAAATTATAAGAATACATAGACCTAAAGTTAACAAACTCAAATTTCTAGGTGGGGATTCATATACTGATAAGTATCTTATACTTTATAGAGTATTTAGTACATAAATATTTATAGCTATTTCTGTTCTTTCATAGAAATTTTACATTTTTTTTCCCTTTCTTAGGACAAAGTTAAACTATAATCCTCCAAAAGATGATGGATCAACTTATAAGATTGAACTTGAAGGGATATCGGTAATGGTTATGAGAGAGATCCTGGATTACATCTTCAGTGGGCAGGTATGATGAGAAACAAAGGAAGGAAGACCTAAGTAGAGGCTTCTCAAGCTCAGGGTGAGGGTCTCCTTTCATCCATTCTATGACAAAGTAGTACTGTCATCTTCATCTTCTGTCACTGTGTGCTTTGAGTGGCATCTCCTACTGGTAATGGCACCCTACGTGTGTTCTTCCATGGCTCTGCTCCTAAAAGAGAAGCAGATAAAGTAAGGTCTTACATGCAAATCCCAGTTTATTGTTACCATTCTGAGCTCCACCTTCTCGTATGAGATACTAAAGAACATGGGACGCTGCCCTGACTGCTGTCTTTTTGGATTTTGCTTTGGAATCCCGATCCAGTCTTGCTTTGTAACCGCACAAGTGGGGATACAAAACTTGTTTTTTTCTCCATAGCATGCAAATAGGAAATGCTGGGGGGCATTGTGGATTGTTTGGTCGAAATAGAGAGTTCCTTGTAGATCATTGCCAGAGAAAGAGGAGTGACACAAATGACAAGCACCTTATTCACGATGCCCTGGTCCTGTTGCCTCAGTACCCATGTCCCTGCCCTACCCCACCCCCACTCTCTCTTTCTGATATCCCTTTCCTCTCCACATCCACTTGAACTTCTAGAGACTTTGTGATATCCAGGGAGGAAAATGATAAGTGATTAGACTTCTTTCCCTCTGCCCTCCTCCGACACCCCATTCCCCATGATGTGATTTCAAGCATAGCAAGAGGACTCAAGAAAAATCTTCCATATGAATCAGGACTAGCTTTTTTTAAACAGAAGGAAGAGGTCAGTGCATCTTACCTTTGGCTGTGTGAGAATGCATTTCATCTTTATTCTTTCTGAGATCTTGGTCCCTACTCTGTCCTTTATTCCTTCTTCATCCCTCTTGTTTTCCCTTTCCTTTCTGTAGGGGCGGTTTCTTCTACATATTTGCTGAGTGTTCTGAATGTATTGCTTTCTTGGTCTAAATATATTCATTTTGTCTAGAGTTAACTCAGTGATTCTCATCCTTTTTGAAGTTTTTGGTTTGATTTCATGCTTTCTATCTGATCTCAACACTAGGGGGTGGGTGTGTACATGTAAGATTCTTAAAAATAAATGAATTTAAATTAATCTGGGGACAGACTTAAAATACTGGAGATACTTCATAGCATCACAAAACCAGACATAAGACGAATCTCTGATCTAACTTATAAGGTCAATCCAGCAGCAGTTATTAGTATAACAAATGATAAGCCAGAAAGAGCCTATTCGTGTTCAGGCTTGGATTTGAAACTTGAAATCTTATTTACAGATTGACTTCTGTGATTTGTTCCCAATTTAAATTTGCAACGATAGTTGCAGCGTAAGTTATAACAAACTCCTGAATTGGCAGTTTTGTTTTATTGAAATGCGATTGAGTGTTTTTTCACGTGCCTGTATTTGAAGAGTCTACAGCTGCCTGCTGTCTTGTGGCTAAATGTAATGTCATATAAATGGAACATTTTCCCCTCCTGTAGCTCACTCAACATACTACTTTCCACATTTTTGTTGCTCAGTTTCTAGGATGATTGGCAATTACACTTTTTTTAAAAATCTGGTACAAAAAATGTAAACTGTAAAAATGTTTCTTGCTGTACTCTTCATGAAGTCTCCCTTGCATTTGCTAATGTGGGTGAAGTACCCATGCTTTAGGGGAGTCCACTTGGGATTGTGGCAGAATTAGAGAGACCGGTTTCTTTCCTGATGCTTGGGAAAACTGTGAAGTGGGTGGCGAAAGAAGCATTAGTCAGAAAATTGAAGAAAATTAAGGAAAAGTAGATGTTCATAATGAGGAAAAAAACCCTTGTAGTAGGTATTTATTCTAAACGTAGTTTTGAGAACTAAATGTATTTATCTGTGAACCAAACTGCACTGTGTACGGTTGGGGTGCAGAATGAGTCTTTTGAATCACTGTAAACCCCTGTCCTTCAAGGGGTTGGCATTCAGGTTGGCATTTCAGTTAGCAGAAGGGTTTTCTTCATAGATTGGGAGGCGAGATTTTCATCAGTTCTGATGTTGGTACTTAATCACCTTGATTATACAAAAGCAGGCAGAGCTTTCCATTTCCCAGGCATTTCAGTCATTAAGGTTCTTCTCTGAGTTACAGAAGTGAGCAACGTGGACAGGTCACCCTAGAAGGGTTAGTGGTGGTTGACATTGGTACAGCAAGGGCAGAGCTGGGAAAAGTTAACTAAGCACACATTGGCTTAGGTTGATGCCCTTCAACTCTTGGGGGAGAAAAAAATGCTGGGTTAAACCATATGAAATTGCCAATATTCTATCATCTTTGATCTAAAATACATGGACATTTCATGTGGCCCAAACTCAAAAATAAGATTAGTGGTTTGGGTTTTAAATGTACACATTCAAATATAAAATAATTATGCTACTTTTTTTAGATCAGGCTAAATGAAGAAACAATCCAAGATGTTGTTCAGGCAGCAGACCTGCTACTCCTGACAGACCTTAAAACCCTGTGCTGTGAGTTTTTGGAAGGTTGCATTGCCGCTGAGAACTGCATCGGTATCCGTGACTTTGCACTACATTACTGTCTGCATCACGTTCATTACCTTGCCACAGAATACCTGGAGACTCATTTCCGAGACGTCAGCAGCACAGAAGAATTCTTAGAACTGAGTCCTCAAAAGCTTAAAGAAGTGATTTCTCTTGAGAAGTTAAACGTTGGCAATGAAAGATATGTCTTTGAAGCAGTAATTCGATGGATAGCACATGATACAGAAATAAGAAAGGTACCTGTCATTTATAACACGGTCCGGTTTGCCTTTTTCTTTCTTTTTAATTCAAATTATAATTGTTTTATTTTTCCTTTTCAACACGAAAGACTTATGGAACAGTGATCTGAAAGATACTTGTAAATGATGTTCCTGTATATCATGAAAGCAGTTGGCTTTTCAGACCAGTCTGCAAAACCCCATGCCACACAATATATCAGTGAAAACACTGACCCTTGGAAGGAGCAGAATGTCCTTTGTATGTTGTTTTTAACGGGAAAATGCATTTCAAGCTTAAGCTGGAGATTATAGAACCGCATCATCCCCACCCTTGCTGGCAGCATCCTGACCGACTGCATCACTAGGCTAGCCCCTGCCAGGCCTCAGGTGCCTGCAGCAGGCGAGGGGTGGCACGTGGAACTCTGGCAGAGAGGTGAGGGCCATGGGCCTGAGGAGCTTCGGATGTCATTGACACCTCTTGGGAGAAAGCAGGCAAGCTCTGGAGTTTGTGTGGCAGTGCAGTTTCAAGAGGGAAGGTTCTGGGAGTGACAGCCTGGGAAGAGGGCCTTAGAGAATATCAGCGTCTCAATACAAATTGTGAATACCTTGGAGAAGGGAGCAAAATCACAGACTCCAGGGTTTTGGTGGGTAGAGGGTCTCAATCTGTCTCTCAGTGGCCAAAGTGACACGATTATAGCTCACTGCAGCTCCAACCTTCCTGGCTCAAGTGATCTTCCCACCTCAGCCTCCCGAGTAGCTAGGACCACAGGTGTGTGCCACCATACCTAGCTAATCATTTGATTTTTGTCGAGACAGAGTCTTGCTGTGTTGTCCAGGCTGGTCTCAAACTCCTGGGCTCAAGCAGTCCCCCACTCCAGATTTCCAAAGTGCTGGGATTACAAGCGTGAGCCACTGTGCCCAGCCAGGACTTTATTTTTAAGTCTGATTAATATAAATAAGACACTAGCTTCAATTACTGTTTTCAAAATGAGAAATATATTAGGGTTAGAGAGTGGCTCTCAAAATGTATAGTTGTATTGTTGTTTTCATAAATTAAAATTTGACTATTAAATCTTGATGATTGTCTTAGAAGTTTTGAATTCTGTAAGCCCAGAAGTGTGTATGTTTGGAAACCATATTTGTAGTAATTGTTTTAGTTAGGACAGGTAAGGACAGGTAGTGTTCTGCTTTTCATGTTAGTTGGGAAAATTGTTAAAGAAGGTAGAAAAATTTAGAAAAATTTCCAGGGTGCTCCCACTCACCAAGACTCCAGTGGAACATGCTGCTCCTTGCCAGCTTCCATACTGCCCTGTTCTTGCCTGAAAGCAGAGGAGATTGTTTAGGTTGACTGGCTGCTGGGGAAATGAGGCAAGTTCTTTGTCCCTTTGGTCAATCTAAAGTTTATGCTGTAAAGACAGTTGACTTTTAAAACTCACGGTATAGAAGAGTATATCGTAAAATGACTCTAAAGTGCTTATTTTAAAACCAAGAAAAATCTTCTGAATATACCAATTAATAAAACTAATTACAGAGTTTTATTTTACATTTGTAAAATACTTCAGTTGGTTCAAATTAAGTGATTGAGGAGCAAAAGTATTTAATTCATGTTAGACATGTAGGTATTTTTGAACAGTAATTAGAGCAGAAATGATTATATCGTACTCGGGATCTTTTTAAACTTTGGTTTTGTATATTTTTCTTGTAATATTAATATTGACATATCATTTAAGTTTACCATATCGTATTGAGCTCTTACTGTATAAAAGATGTGTGTAAACATGATTTAACTATGGCATATCCAAATGTGTGAAGCAAAGCAAATTATAGCAGTTTTTTTCCTACCTTTTCCGTTTGACATGGAAATCCTTTAAGGTGTAAAGTAAGCTGCTTGAAACTTTGCAGTGATACCTCAAATAAACTGATCATTTTTATTTATTTATTTTTTTTAATTATATATATATTTTTAGATGGAATCTCACTCTGTTGCCAGGCTGGAGTGCCATGGCATGATCTTGGCTCACTGCGGCCCTCCCGGGTTCAAGCGATGCCCCTGCCTCAGCCTCCCAAGCAGCTGGGACTACAGGCATGCCCAGCTAATTTTTGTATTTTTAGTAGAGATGGGGTTTCACCATGTTGGCCAGGATGGTCTGGATCTCCTGGCCTCATGATCCACCCACCTCGGCCTCCCAGAGTGCTGGGATTACAGGTGTGAGTGACCACATCCGACCACTGATGATTTTTAAAAATTAAACTTTTACAGCCGAGCGTGGTGGCTCACACCTGTAGTCCAAACACTTTGGGAAGCTGAGGTGGGTGGATCACCTGAGGTCAGCAGTTCGAGGCCAGCCTGGCCAACATGGTGAAACCTCGTCTCTTAAAAAAAAAAAACAATTAAACTTTTGTTTATCAAGACTCTGGAGAGTAGACAGTCAGGGCCAGGAGAAGACATTCAAGCAGTGTGGGCGCATCTCGCTTGCCTGGTAACAACCTGGGTGTGTAACAGTTTGTTTTCCATGAGGTAGAAAATGCAGATTCTAAAAGTGATGCGTTGCATTTTCCATTGTTTTCACCCCGTTTTTTTTCCCCTCTTCTGCAGGTCCACATGAAGGATGTTATGTCAGCTCTGTGGGTTTCAGGGTTGGACTCCAGTTACTTGCGGGAACAGATGCTAAATGAACCATTAGTACGAGAAATTGTCAAAGAGTGTAGCAATATACCGCTCAGCCAGCCGCAGCAAGGAGAGGCGATGCTGGCCAACTTCAAACCCCGGGGCTACTCCGAGTGCATCGTGACTGTTGGTGGGGAAGAGAGGGTGTAAGTATGAGGTGGGAGTTGTTTGAAAACTGGTAAATGGGAAGAGGTAGTTCCATGTAGACAAGAATTCATAATGTTTTTCAGTCTCTAAAGCATCATTGCATTCAATTTTTAAAATGTTTTAAACATTCTTTAGTGCACTAAAACTAGTCATGGTTGCTGATAAGAAGAAGTGTATGAAACACATTAACTACTGATCAATGATTTGCTTCTTTAGATCACGGAAACCCACAGCAGCCATGCGGTGCATGTGCCCTCTCTATGACCCCAATAGGCAGCTTTGGATCGAACTGGCCCCTTTAAGCATGCCGAGAATTAACCATGGAGTTCTCTCAGCAGGTACCATTCTGTGGCAAATTTTCTTAAACATCATATCAAGTAATGTGTGATCTCAAGGTTGTACAGAATGTCTCAGAGCCCTTTAACGATACATTTTATTATCTCTACATGACATTTTTAGTGTAGTTCTAGCTTTTGAGACTGTGGTTAGGAATACAGTATCTTCTTTCAGTCTTACTATCGCCAGATCTTCCACACATAGCTGCTTTTAAGAACTGTCGGAGGAGCAGTTACCTGATGACTTCATGTCAGGACAGCAAGCTTCAGTGATGCTTACTGTGAAGTGGCTGTGAGGCCACACCTGGAACACGACGTTTATTTGCACCATGATAGTCCCATCTTTGAAATTAATGCAGCTTAGAATTACAAAATGTAATTATAAAAGGCTGGGTATGGTGGCTCACACCTGTAATCCCAACAGTTTGAGAGGCTGAAGTGAGAGGATCACTTGAGCCCAGGAGGTCAAGACCAGCCTGGACAACTTAGAGATAACCATCTCTACTAAAAATTAAAAAAAGTAGCCAGGCATGGAGGCCCACATTCCTGGTCCCAGCTACTTGGGAGACTGAGGTGGGTGAATCACTTGAGCCCAGGAGATCAAGCCTGCTGTGAGCCATGATCACACCACTGCACTCCAGCCTGGGTGACAGAGTGAGACCCTGTCTCAAAAAAAAAGTCATGAGACTTTTGAAATGCTACTTAAATTGGCAATGGCTTAAAGTTATTTACTACAGGAAATGTTTTACTTGACCTTTGCAAGTTTGAAAACTGCTCTGCTTATCCTAAGCTCTCCCTTAAGGAGCTGATAGAAAAGATGTCCATCGAGGCGTCACCTTTGCTTGCTGCCTTTCTTGTTGCTGTGGTCCTGCCCGCTTGTCTGCCTGACAAATGTCACCTCACGTCATTCTAATTATGGTCGGCAGCCCTCCTGCAGTCCTGATTTGTCTTTGCTTGCCCAGCAACATTATCTTTAAATTTTTTTTAGCTTTTCTTTGTAGAGATGGGGTCTTGCTATGTTGCCCAGGTTATAACATTTTTAAAGCTGTACTGTACATACCATATCAGAGAAATGGCCAAGTCTCTACCATATTATAGAAGTGGAGTCATTTTTCAGTTCTAAATCTTCTGGGGCTTGGGCTAAAAAAAACAAAACAAAGAAGTAGAGTCATTTTATGAGTCCTAAAATTATTAAAATTGTTGTCAGTAGTGAAGAGCTGGGCAGTTTCCCTGTCGCATCTTCTCAGAATTGGCTCCCTTACATTTCCCCCCAGAATATATGCACATATTCCTAATTTTCACACATACACACCTATCACTAAGGCTCCTGTATGGCTGATTTTTGAAAGTTTCCTAGAGGGATTGGTGTTTCAGAAACCCAGCAATGGAAGGAGCAGCTGTGAATGGTGGAATTGATGGAAACAGAAGTGAGTGAATGAAGAGGTCCGTCCATTTGTCCATCCTGCGTTGTTTCTTTCTTTTCTTGCCTTTTTAAAAACTGATTTTGACTGTTCATTCAGTTTTTCGTCTCCCTCAGTTTGGAACTTACATTCTTGTTAATAATAGTCCTTTGGGAAGATTACCTTAGAAATTACAGCCTGTCTTAAGTTAGCAAAGTCCGAAGTTAGTCAGTACCTGTGTTCTCTTCAGGATAGTTTCACTTCATTTTCCATGTTCCACAGTCTTACAGGATTAAAATGCATTATTACTAATAAATATGTACAGTAGATCCCCCTTGTCCACGGGGGATGCGTTCCAAGACCCCCAGTGGATACCTGAGACCACGGACAGTTCCATACCCTGTACATACTGTGCGTTTTTACTGTACATACCTACCCGTGATTAAGTCCAGCGCAGTAAAAGAGTCACAACAATACCTAATAAGAAAACAGTGATAACAACATACTGTAATAAAAGTTGTGTGAATGTGGTCTTTCTCTCAAAATGCCTTACTTCACTGAACTCACCGATTTTCAGACTGCAATTGATTATGAGTGATGAAACCAGAGAAACCAAAACTTCAGCTAAGGGGGAGCTACTGTGTACACACTGTGTGTTTTTGATATATGTTGGATGGATGGATGGATGGATGGATGGATGGATGGATGGATGGACGGACGGACAGACAAATGGACAGACAGATAGGTGGGTTGACAGATGATTGAGAGATAGACAGATAAGTAGGCAGGTAAGTAGGTAGAAAGTGTTCATTCAGATTTGCTACTTTCTTTGTTCTTCCTTCTTAACTCCTCAGACTTTCCACCTTAGGATAATTTCCCTTCTCTCTCATCTTTTTGTATTTCCTTTAATGTGGATCTTTTGGTGGACAACTCTAAGATTTGTTTGCCGGCAAATGTTATACCTTTGTCTTCATTTTAAGGATGCTTTTGCTGGGGATAGCACTTCAGCTCGGTATTTATTACTTTTTAGCACACTGAAGTCATTCCACTGACTTCTGGCTTCCGCTGTTGTTAAGCCAGTTGTGAGTCTAAAAAACGTCTTCTCTGGCGTGTATTTAAGATTTTCTTACTGTTTTTCATCTTTTTGTCTTGCTGTGCTATTCTCTTGATTATTATCTTTGAATTTATCTTCTACTCAATGACTTTTCTCCTTAACTCTGATGAATCTATTTAATGAATCTGCCATTTATCCTTTTTTAAAAAATTTCTACAAGTTCTTATCTTTTTGCAGGAAAATAGCTTAATCCACCATTACTTTCAGATCCACTCCTATTTCTATAGTTCCATGTTACCTGGAGTTATCTTCAAGTAACTTTTATTTTTTTAAACATGATAAGTATTTTTTTAAATTATCTTTCTTTTTAAGATAAATTTTAGACTATTTTTTATCATCCAACTTGAAAAAATACAATCTTTCTGGTTACTATAATATTTGAAATCTTTGCAAGACTATTTCCTATGATCTGCTTCCACTTGTCTTTTCTTGGAGTCTAATTTTTGGTATATCTAATACCTGTGGCTGGATGCTGCTTGTTTTATTAAACATTATTTATAGCAGCCAGGCACGGTGGATCACTTGAGGTCAGGAGTTTGAAATCAGCCTGACCAACATGGTGAAACCCCATCTCTACTGAAAAAAAAACAAAAACAAAAAATAGCTGGATGTGATGGCATGCACCTGTAATCCCAGAATTCAGGAGGATGAGGCAGAAGAATCGCTTGAACCCAGGAGACAGAAGTTGCAGTGAGCTGTGGTCGCACAACTGTATTCCAGCCTGGGCGACAGAGTGTGACTGTCTTTAAAAAAAAAAAAAAAATAAAAAAATTATTTGTAGCAGTAACTTTTGTTACAGTGTCCTGGGATGTTAGAATCTAAGGCTTAGATTAAGATCCTTTCTTCTGTAGAAGTTTTGCATTTGTTTCTGCCAGCTGCCTGGAAACACTGCTAATTTGGTATTAACTGTAAATCAAGTTCAAGGCTCACAGTTTCCTAGATAGCAAAGAGGTTTAAAATCTGAGTGCGAATTCTGGTTGGCCTTCATTGTGACAGCATGGACTTTGGAGAGGCTCTGCTGCCAGAAGCCACATTTTCTGTGGACCTGGAGCTTAGACTTCCCTCCTTTTATCCCCAGGACAAAAGGTTTACACATTCCTAGATTGGCAAATGCCCTCAGAGGAAAATGGTTTTCATGCTTGATAACCTCTGTAGGTCCTAATTTTCCCTTCAGCTTTGCCTCATTGTCTTGTTGACCTCTCCTCTTCTAAGAAGATCATTATTGTTGTTATTTTTGAGATAAGCTCTCACTCTGTTGCCCAGGCTGGAGTGCAATGGCATGATCACGGCCCACTGCAGCCTCACTCCTGGGCTCAAGTGATCTTCCCATTTCAGCCTCCTGAGTAGTTGAAACTACAGGCAAATACCACAATGCTCAGCTAATTTCATCATTTTTTTTGTAGGGATGAGATCTTGCTATGTTGCCCAGGCTGGTCTTGAACTCCTGGGCTCAAGCAGTCCTTGTACCTTGGCTTCCAAAAGTGCTGAGATTACATATGTGAGCCACCACCACACAGCTAAGATTATTTTTTAAATGTTTTATCCAGCAAATTAGGTGTTTTTTGCAGAAGAATGACCTATTACACCATTACATGGAATAAGAAGTTCAGTTGCTGTTAGATCCTGTTTTGAATAGAAAGTACACACAGGTGCTTCAGATCTGGGTGATCCTGGGGTCTTGATGGACAGATGTGCGTTGCGGTGCAGAAGTTGTGTGGCAATCACAGAGGCCGGGAGGGAATAGAATAATGAACTGAGATGGCCCAGAGTTGCCTGGTGACTAAGTGGATGGCATCAGGCTGCCTTTCACACTGTAGGGTAGTGGAAATCCACTCAAAGACATAACGAGGAAAGCAAAATGGTCAAAGTGAGTCACAGGTTTGCCTCCATCACCAAGGATCCAGTGGGATGAGTACTGAATCCAAAGAGAACGTGATTGTCGTCAGAGAGTTTCTTCAGATGCTATTTCTATATGCTATGGTGTTTATGGGTGTTGAAGACTCGCATTTCACATTTCTTGTATTTCCTTTGATCTTTGCAGAAGGATTTCTGTTTGTATTCGGAGGCCAAGATGAAAATAAGCAGACCTTGAGCTCAGGAGAAAAATACGATCCAGATGCAAATACATGGACAGCACTGCCGCCCATGAACGAGGTAAAACGTGGTTTGGTTGGTTGGTTTGATGTGTTCTTCTTTCCCCTTAGTGCTTCTGTTTGTTTTGTGTCTGAGTGCAGGGAAGAAGCAGCAGCCCTCCCAAACCTCTCCCTCATACGCTCCAGCCTCCCCTTCTAGTGCCCGGCTCCCCTCCTTTTCCTGGTCCTTGCTCTTTCTGGCCTCCTTGAGTTTCTGAGACCTTCCAGGAATGCCCTCACCCCGGCCTTGGGGCTTGTGCTGTCCGCTGCAGATGCCAGCATGGCCTGCTCAATGTACCTTCTTAGTGGGCCTCCCTCCTGCCTCTCAGCTCTCCTGTCCCCATCTTCATACCACATCTCACCCTCTCATGGACCAGGAATTTTAAGTTTTTCACATAAGCTCTTTGCTGGCTGAGAATTACCCCTGTTCTGGTCAGTGTTTCATTCTCAGCAGTAGAATCATGCTTGCTACCCAGGGGTCACAACATAAATGTTTGTTGACAAATGGACACGAAACACCTAGGGCTTCTGTAATCCCAAAAAGCGTTGACCCAACCCTGTCCTCCTTGCTGCCTCTCCCAGCCAGACAGCGTTTTCTGCCGTGGGTTTTACTGCCTTTCCCACGTCAACTTGAAAACACTGCCCATTGCCATGCAAAAATAATTGTGTTGAACCAGAGGTAACAGTTTTCTTATTGTGAACTATTATGGGTTAAAAAGGATTTTCTGGTGAATTCACTGTGTATTTCAGAACCTTGTTTTGAGAAATTACTGGCTTTGGCTTCTCTGACTGTTGTGCTGGAAGAGTGGGCTGCTAAGGAGGCCAGAAATCTTTAAGAAGTATTACTTGAAGAAATAAATGGTTTTGAACATGGTACTTCCTTGCTGGAACACTGGGGGAAAAAGATACTAATTTTTAAAAGTGATATCAAGTTTTATTTTTGACTCGGGGTACAGGTGCAGGTTTGTTGCTTATGTATATTGCATAACGCTGACGTTCGAAGTGAGATGAATCCGGTCACCAGGTACTGAGCATCTTACCCAATCGTTAGTTTTTCAGCCCTTGCTCCGCTCCCTGCCTCCCTGCCCTAGGAGTCCCCAGTGTCAGTTGTTGCCATCTTAATGTCTCTGTAATTGTTATGAAATGTCTGAACATCAGCATTCAATATGATGATTGGCCTAGGGTGTTCAGAGATCACTGGTGTCATTTCAGGCAAGACATAACTTTGGAATTGTGGAGATAGATGGGATGCTGTACATTTTGGGAGGAGAGGATGGTGAAAGGGAGCTGATTTCCATGGAGCGATATGATATTTATTCTAAAACCTGGACAAAGCAACCTGATTTGACCATGGTCAGAAAGGTGAGGACCACATTTTATGGTAACTAGTTGGTATACACACTGGATTTTAAACTTAATGTTTCTTCATATCCTGAATAAACCTTTAATATAACTGTAGTGTTGAAATAATTAACTTCATAGAATTCTGTCTTCTTTGGTGGTTTGGCTTCACTGTCGTCAGCCACACACCAAGACAGGAAAGTGAGCATGTGTAAGAGTTTCCCCTGATGGGGGCGCTGCACAGCACCGCTGTGTGTGAAGCCCCACATTGGAGTGCACAAATGGTGCCACACCCACATCTTCCCAGCCGATTTTCTTTCTATCTTTCCCTTTCGTACTCACTCTCTTTGTCTCTCTCTTGTTTTTCTTGAGACAGGGTCTCACTCTGTTGTTGCCTAGGCTAGGCATCTGTTGCCTAGTTGCGCCATCGTGGCTCACTGCAACCTCTGTCTCAAGTGATCCTCCCAACTCAGCCTCCTGAATAGCTGGGACTACAGGTGCGCACCACCACACCCAGCTAATTTTTGTTTTTTGGGGTTTTTTTTTTAAGTAGAGATAGGATTTCACCATGTTGCCCCAGCTGGTCTTGAACTCTTAGGATCAAGCGATCCCCCATCTCTACAAAAAAAAGTTTTAAATAAAGTTAGCCAGGCACAGTGGGGCCCGCCTCTAGTCCCAGCTACTCAGGAGACTGAGGCAGAAGAATCTGTTGAGCCCAGGAGTTTGAAGCTGCAGTGAACTATGATGACACGGCTTTACTCCAGCCAAGGCAACTGAACGAGACCCTGTCTCAAATAAATATAAATTAAAATGAGGCTTTTTTATTTCTCTCACTTAGTGAAATGCTATCAGATGAAGTAAGAGCTCCTTTTCTGAAGACTAACAATAGGTGTCTTACTTAGCTCTTCTCGTTTTCAAAGTCCGGTGTTGTAGTATTGAAAAGCACCATTGTTTTACTGTGAGAATTCAACCCCCTTCCTAAATATCTTTAAGTATGCCCCAGAGAAGTTAGTGTCTATTCACCTGACCTGAATGAGAAATGTTGCCTCTCCCCATCGCTGTTTTCCCCTTTCAGATTGGCTGCTATGCAGCTATGAAAAAGAAAATCTACGCCATGGGTGGAGGCTCCTATGGAAAGCTTTTCGAGTCCGTGGAATGCTACGACCCCAGGACCCAGCAGTGGACTGCCATATGTCCCCTGAAAGAGAGGAGGTACATGGACATGGGTGTGGACTGTGTAGATTCCCTTGCTGTTCATCGGGGCTGGAGTCCCTTACCCTGCCTGGCTCTTGTTCTTTTCTTTCCTAGTAACCTTTTCTTTGACTTGGCACTTCCTGAGAAACGAAGGCCCGCATAGTAATGCTGCGAGTTAAACCAGCATGAGAGGAACGCGGGCGTCAGGTCTCACATTGATCAGCTTGTACCTGATACACTGTGTGTGGCCTTTCAGGTTTGGAGCCGTGGCCTGTGGAGTTGCCATGGAGCTGTATGTGTTTGGGGGAGTCAGAAGTCGTGAGGACATCCAGGGTGGCGAGATGGTCACTTGCAAGTCTGAGTTCTACCATGACGAGTTTAAACGGTAACTAAGGATGGTTTCATGTGGCTTCGGCAACTTTTTCTTTGTGCTTTTAAAGTGCATTTTAGCTTTATTTCGTTTTGTTTTCAGTTACTTTATTGAATTATGGGTTTAGGAGATGTGTCTGATGCGTACTAGATATTTATTCCATGACTTCAGAAGTGTTGGTAATTTAAAATATCCCTAAATAGAAAACGTCTCTAACATGTAGATCAGATCTTGACACTTAGTTACTTAAAATCATTATTGGCTCCCTATCACTTTAGGAGAAATTTTAAAACCCCTTAACTTCTTGGGTGTGGTGGCTCACACCTGTAATCCCAGCATTTAGGGAGGTAGAAGTTGAGCATTGCTTAAGCCCGGGAGTTAGAGATTTACCTGGGCAACATGAGACCGTGTTCTCCAAAAACAAATAAATAAATAAATAAACTCCTTAACTTAGCATATATGGCCTTTTATGTTACGGCCTTTGTCTGCTTTTTCTGCTACTGACCCAGATGCTTTACACTGAGCCACTTTCCCCTGCAAATATGTATGATTGTCTCCGCTCTGTGTTTCTTATGCCGTTTCTTGCCTAAAAGTTTCCTTCCCTCTATCCATCCAGTTAAGTTGGCTTTTTTCAAAACTGCTCGGTTATCAAAACCCAGAGAAAGCCTTCTCGTGCCTCCTAGTCTGATTGAAATCCCTCGATCTGTGATCCCTTGCACTCCAGACAAGTCTCTCTCTGGGGTTGTAACTGTTAACTGCTGGCAACGTCAGGGCAAGGTCCACTCTTGTCGGTTCTGTATCCTGGCTTCCAACATCCTACCTGCCTGTGTGGATGGTGGGTAAAATGTTAAGTGGCCGAGGCATGGTGTCTGAGATTCTTAAAGCCTCGGACAGTTGCCACATGTGTCTTGTACATAGCATCCTTCTCCATCTCTTTTCTCTTTCCTCACACGTTTTATTGCTGTAACCACTGAACAGTGTTTTCATTGCAGTCATATGTCCAAATCCTAAGGGGAGTTTGCTATGCTAACCCTAATTTTGTTAGAGTATTTCAGTCGTGTTACCAGAAGAGGGTGCTATAACATAATGTTTAATTTCATGGTATTTACCATGAAATTACCAAGATGTTGTTACCAAGAGCAGTTACCAAGATGTTGGAAAATCATATAAATGTTACCCAACTTGTATTTTAAATTTAGGATATTTGCATAGCCTTTTTTTCTAATTATAGGGATAGACTATTTTAGGAAAATTTATTAGACTGAGAGCAGTTGAGAGGATATTTGCTGTGGGGCAGATTTTCAGACTTCCCTTCATTTCTCCTTTCTTGATACATGACTGTGAGGGCTGACTGCCAAAAGATGAAGTCTAATAGTAGTTTCCTGCCCAGGCTGGGTGTGGTGGCTCACACCTGTAATCCCAGCACTTTGGATAGGCCAAGGTGGGCACATACCTGAGGTCAGTAGTTTGAGACCAGCCTGACCAACGTGGCAAAACCCCGTCTCTACTAAAAATACAAAAATTAGCCGGGCATGGTGGCACGCAGCTGTAATCTTAGCTACTCAAGAGGCTGAGGCAGGAAAATCACTTGAACCTAGGAGGCAGAGGTTGCAGTGAGCCGAGATTGTGCCACTGCACTCCAGCCTGGGTGATAGAGCAAGACTCCATCTCAAAAATATACGTATATTATATATATATATGTATTTCCTGCCCAAATGAATCTGAAGGCAGTCTGACCAACTTCACTAACAGTCAGTTGCCAGAGTGTTTGGTTTCTGATAAAATATTGATATAACTATTTTTCATAATGACTGAATTACTGTTTAGAGGGCATGAGCTAGTAACTCGCTTGCTGGAGGAGTCAAGCTTGCTTTTGTTTTTACCGTTTCATGTCCCTATTTTGATTGCATAAGATATAAATCTGGCTATAAAATTCCTCAGTGTGCCCTTGACATGCTATAAATTTTTAGGACCTTTATATTCCATCAGGTTGTTAAACTTTTTTTTTAGCTGAAGTCTTGCTCCTTTGCCCAGGCTGGAGTGCAGTGGCGTGATCTCAGCTCACTGCAACCTCTGCCTCCTAGGTTCAAGTGATTTTCCTGCCTCAGCGTCCTGAGTAGCTGGGACTACAGGTGCGTGCCATCATGCCCGACTAATTTTTGTATTTTTAGTAGAGGCAGGGTTTCACTGTGTTGACTAGGCTGGTCTCAAACTTCTGACTTCGTGATCTGTCTGCCTCAGCCTCCCAAAGTGCTGGCATTATAGGTGTGAACCACCATGCCCAGCCTATCAGGTTGTTACATCTTTGTAGTGGATACGCTTTTGATACAACTATTACTTGCTTTAAGTTCATAATAATTAAACATGAGTGTTGCTCCTTCCTTGCTATCTAAAAGCACTTCCAGGCCGGGCATGTTGGCTCACGCCTATAATCCCAACACTTTGCAAGGCGGACAGATCACGAAGGTGGATTACTTGAGGCCAGGAGTTCTAAAGCAACCTGGCCAACATGGTGAAACCCCGTCTCTACTAAAAGCACACACACACACACACACACACACACACAAAATATATATATATATTATCCAGGCATGGTGGCACACACCTGTAGTCCCAGCTGCTCAGGAGCCTGAGGCCCAGGAATTGCTTGAACCCAGGAGGTGGAGGGTGCAGTGAGCTGAGATTGCACCACTGCACTCCAGCCTGGGTTGCAGAGTAAGACCCTGTCTCAAAATAAATAAAAGCACTTCCCAATAAAGTTTATGTATGTTCGGTTCCTCATTTCTAAGCTCTTCAATGTTAGTTTGTAAATAGAGTGATACGATAAATTAATACAATTTATCAATACAAGATTCTAACATGTTTAGATAATAATATTAAACACACATATAACACCAAATGCCATGTAGTGATTTAATCTTTGAAGTAGCACTCTGAAGTGTGTGTAGATACTATTACTATTCCTATTTTCCATATGAGGAAATCACAGCACAGAGAGGGTGAGCAATGTGCCCCCGGACACGCAAGGAGCAAGGGGCTGAGATGGGAAATGAACTCAGGCGTTCTGGCCCCAGAGTCCACCTTTCCAACTACCACACTAGCTTGACTTAAAAATGTCGGCTTTCCTATAACTATCTACAGAGCAGAACAACATGTAGGAGTAGTTCGTTTCTGAAAGAATCCGATGCAAATGTGTTCCACTGGCATACTCTGTAAACCGTTGTTGCCGGATGAGCAGTCCGTATTCGATTGGAGACCACGTCGATTGTTTTTAAGTAATCTCTTGTCTTTCCTGTATTTGTTCCCTATTTTTAGGTTAAAACTTTCCTGGAAAAAAGCCATATCTTTCTCTTTTCTGTTTTTCTGAATAAAAGCAAAACTCTTTGAAAGAAAGGAAAGCAAAGCAATTGCCATAACGTATTACCAAGTCAGAGCAACAGCTTCCTATACCCAGAATGACAGTTTTTCTATTTGTGTTCCTGTGCCCTATTCTGTTAGTAATACTACTATCCTCCCCATTGTCCATGCTCAAAAAAGGGTCGTCTTGGCCAGGCGCAGTGACTGACGCCTATCATCTCAGCACCCTGGGAGACCCAAGTGGGAGGATCTCTTTGAGCCTGGGAATTCAAGACAAGCCAGGGCAACATAGCGAGATCTCATCTCTACAAAAAAATTCAAAACTTTGCTAAGCATGATGGTCCATGCCTGAGGTCGCAGCTACTCGGGAGACTGAGGCAGAAGGATCACCTGAGGCTGGGAAGTGGTGGAAGCTGCAGTGGGCCGTGATCATGCCATTGCACTCCAGCCTGAGTGCCAGAGCAAGACCCTGTCTCAACAAAAAAGGAATCATCTTGGATTCTCTCTTGTACTGTGCAACTCCTCAGTTGCCAGGTCTGGTCCTTTTTTAAATCTCAGTAGCATTCTTCACATTTCCCCCTTCCCTGCCCCGCTGCTACCCTCACAGTCACTCCTCCATCTGGGTAGTGTAATTAGCCACTGGTCAGCCTTGCCAGTGCAGCTACCTGCTTGTGGTTTGGGAAGACAAATCTGACAAAAACTTAGCTCAGAGTTTTTGATTGCTCTGCTCAAAATTCTTGACTGTTTGCCACTGCTTACCAAATAAAGGTAATAGTACTTAGCCCCCTACTCAGGGTTCTCTATGATCGGAGGTGAAGAAGTGTCACCCTTTTTCAGTATGCTTCTTTCACATGTCCTGTGCTGCACCTCACGTTTTACAGCCTCTCGTGTTTGCTGCCTCCGTGCATTCGCTCAGCCTAGACGCCCCTTTGATTTTTTGCAGTATGTATGTTAACTGGTCTTTGAAGTTAAGGTCTGTGTTTCCTCTTTTGATTCCTGAATATATAACTAGAATAGACTTACCTGACAACTGGCAAAATCACCATGCTGTTTCTCTGACCAGTATGGATTGGGGGCCACGATGACAAGAAGGGCTAAGTGGAAGTCCCGGGAACTTTCCTTTCCTACCGGGATAGGAAACCAGAAGCAATAGTGCATCCTGGGGGAATTTGCAAAAATTAGGCTGCCATCAAAGACTAGAAAATGCAGGAGAGGTGGTGCCTATGACGTCCCCACTTAATTCACTTAGAAAAAGTAGAAAAGTAAAATGGATCTCAGAAAATCTCGTGAATTTTTTAGTTCAAATATTATGTTATCAATTCCAAAATGTTTGTTTAGTTTGTTTTTAGGTTTTCTTTTTCTTACCTTGAGTTTCTTTTGCTCTTCTCCAGCTTCTTCAGATAGAATTTTAGGTTAGTCATGGTAGATCTTTTGCCTTTCTAATGCACATAGCGAAAGCGTTCATCTTTCCACGAGCACCGCTCTAGCTGGACATACCGATATGTTGTATTTTCATTACCATTCAGTCTGTGATATAATTTTGTCTTCTTCAGATTGGATGGTTTCTGTTCCTCTGTCTTCAAGTTTGCTGCTGCTTTCTTTTGTTACCTCCATCCAGTGATTTTTTAATTTCAAATATTGTGTCATCGATTCTAAAA